GCGAGGATCTTTGACAGGACGGAAAATACAAGTGTATAAGCATCACTGCTAACGGGATTTTCTCCAATTAAATCCCAGTTCCTTTGATCAATGACATTATTCTTCGTTAAGTCGTAGAGATATCTGATGTTTTCTTCTAATACAGGATCGTCGTTAGAATTTGGCAAGTTTACCAATATCAAGCCGAATATTTGTTGCGACAAAGATAGCTTGTGCTTGTGTAAATAGTAGAGAAGCTTCACGAACACCGGACCAAGAGCTTTCTGAGTAATATTCGAGTGTTTGTCGTATCCTTTCATTTCTTCGCCGACAATTTTTAGCTTCTGTTTCAAGATGTCTAAATCGATGTTGGCAAGGTAATTAAACGTTTCAGATGTCGTCTGACTGAGTAATGTATTTAAGTCGATTTTTTCTTGCTCTATCTCATTAGCCAAGAATCTAGCTGTACATTGAAGATAGGGCGGTAGATTTTTACCAGCGACAATAGTATTGTATGTGTCTGTTGATTCTTGTCCATAGAATTTAATTTAGACAGAATGGGTAATAAATTGTACATGTAAACCGTCTTCTTCTTGAGGAAATTATAAAGAATCTGTAGAGATGTATATTGTTCTTCCGTGAATTTAGTTTCACGACCGTGTAATAAGTATGAAAAAATGTACAGTATATTATCTCGGAATGTCACCGATGCTTTTAATTTTTCTGTCACGCTCCTCGATTTATTGTCGTTTTTGGAAACGTGCTGTTTGTCTTTCTCGAAATGAATACTGTAACGTTCAATCAGCACCGGACTTAATGATCTTCGCACAACGCCGAAATCCGAAAGAGCACCAAGAACTGAAGAATTTTTTTCATTGCTTTTATGCTGAATCACCTTTAATTAAAAACACATTGTATCATCATCAATATATAAAGTAATAGAAAAATTAATATTTATATTTATTATAACAAATGATACTATTATTATTATTCTACTTTAAAATTATTACATTATTATAGAACAGATTCTCACTTTAGATTTTAATTCCTCATGATGTTTGTCCTGAAAAAGCAAAAGAAAGATCAAATTATTTTATCCAACATAATAAATGTGTATGTCATTTTGTAAACAATTAATAATTTGCTTCACTCTAGATTATTGTAATTATTTTATTATATATATATAATTAATATCATTACTGTAATATTTCCGATTCTACAATATTTTTGTCGAATTGTTAGTTCAGATTGATATATAATAAACTTACTTGCTGAGTTGCACGTATCACAAACGCTGTCCCAATTAAGACGAGAAAAGTAACAACTATTATATTGCTCACTATCATTTTGTCGAACGTTATGATCGAATCAGGTCAAATGGAAAGTCCATATAAAAATTTAATAATCGTTTATCCGTATAAAACGTTTCACATTACACAGTATTTCGTTAATTTGTAAGCTTATTACGTCTCGCAACGCGTCCAAAAGAGACTGAGGTAGGTTTTAACGAGGGCGGCATCCTTTATATAAGGAACAACACTCGAATTGCCATAGTTAAAATTATGCTCGTGCGTGTACGCAACCGCCGGTCGAGAATGAATAACTCGATGCGAGCGCATGTTATTGCTAACTGATAATTAAATTTTACTGTTCCACACACCGGTATTCCCGCACCTCTCCTACGCTTCTTTCAACTTGTTGGCTCGAGCTGTTGCATCGAGCGAGATGAGATGCGATTCGATAATTTATTTTTGTTGATTTTTCCTATTTTTAAACGATCGCGAAAATATTGTATTATTTTTAACGCTAATATTATAGAAATATTATATATAATTTTATTATGAGGAATTTAATTCTTAGATTTATTTTCAAAATTATCTAATTCTCTTTGTGTTTCAATTTCATTGCGCTTTGAAAGAAATGTGTATTTTTCCAAAATTATATTATTTATGATATATACGGCTTTTAATAATCAGACGTAAAATTTAGGAGTCACGCATTAATAATAAAACACACATCGTCCTTGGTGTTGCGTATGTAAAAGTTATACCGTCCAACTCGTTATGGATTAAAAAGAAATCGCGATAGACAGCGCGTATTTCATATGCGATAAATTATATACAATAAATATGAATATATTGCAAGAATGCGCTGGATCAATTTATTTGAAAAATTTTCTCATCAAAATACCGCACTGCAATTGCTACTGGTGCATCAAATTTTTGTCGGTTTCTTTATTTTGCGACCACTGTTTTCAATATTTTTTTGCAGAGCGACATATCGCTTCTTATCGTATAGTATGAATTTACGTCGAATATACGAAAAAGAATCGTGTATTAAAATTTTCTTATTAAATAAAAATCTCGCAACTAGGAAGAACTACTTTCCGTAAAATATTCTTTATTCGTTATTCACGCAAATCAATTTATTTGTGGTACGTTAAAAAAATGTATTATCGCGGTAACCGATTACTTGGTATATGCCAATTAATAATCGTCTTAAGAGAGAGAAAAATGGCTATCATATGTCATGTATAAATCATATAAAATAATAAACACATGCTTATACATGCAATATTTCGAGAGCTTATAGCTATTTACACTTAGACGCTACAAATCATTTTTCCATATGTCTTTTTTATTAATACAATATATACATAGCTTGAAGCATACATACATACGATATTCTCAACACACGTAAGCGAGCAAACCGAGCGTCGTTCTCCTCTACTGCATCGCGCGATTGAGCGCGGTATATTTTTTATTCGGTCGGCCAATAAAACCGAAGCTGACAATCCGCTGTAGCTCTCCCTAACAAATGACAACAGATAACGGTGCGACCGAAAGGGTCGCACCGTCGTGAACGATAAGGCGGCAGGACAGTGACGAATAGGCCTTCGCGAAGCTTCCGCGGATACTGCAATTCCATGCAGCCGGCTAAGCCGGCCACTATCATACGCGTACCGGAGGATGGTGGTGCAATTCCGATAGGTGATCCATTATCTTAAACGGCATCGAGCAATCGATTCGCGCCGCTCATCTCCGAGCGCTTTTTCAGGTTTCAGAGAACTTTTCGCAACTCTCTTCGCAAGCACGGCTTTTCCCTCTCTTTCGTTCTCTCGCTCTTTTTCTCTCTCTATCTCCCTCGGCCGTACCCTTTTATCTCTACGCGCGCGTGAATTTTTGGATCGACTCGTAAAATCCGAGCGTGTGCAACTGCATATTGCGCTCCTATGTTCACCTCCATCGCTTCGTCCGTAAGGTCGAGCTGTCGAGATTGGGATTGAGCGATGCGCGAATATATAGCGGTAGCCCCCGCGCACACATGAGAGTTAAAAGCACCCGAGTTTTTGGGAAGGTATCGTTTTTCTCGCATTTTTCCATGGAAGAATGAGCTTCTATTTATCCGCGGAAATTGATGACGCTGTGTTTGTCGGCGATAAAATAGCCCCTCGCGATACTTAATGTTGTTATTCTGTTTCGGAAAACAGCGTATATAATCAGGGTTGTACGTAAAATACGGAGTTTTAAAGCTGCAGCTGCAGCTGCTGTTGCTGCAGCCGTTGCGCCTTCGCAAAACTTTTGCGATAGTGAAATTAATTGACGTAAAACGACTGAGAGCGTTTTATCAAAAATTTTTAGCGAGAAAATATGTTTTTTACTCCTGTATAAAATAATGTATTTTAGAAAATATACATTGCTTGCAAACCCCTTTGAATTTTAACCAGTTCACCTCTTGCAGTATGATGCAATATTATGGAATATGAAAATGGATATTCGTTATCGCTTATATTGTATACGGTATATTGAATGCATCAATCCGTGGCATGTACTTTCATAAGCATCAGTATTTTCCGTGACAGAAATTGCATCATCCGTTTTAATAATTCTTTTGTGGGAAACTTTTAATTATCGTGCAGTATCGTAAAATAATTTTATGGCAAATTGAGTTGCTCTCGACATTAACAATATCAGCGTATTCTTCTCTAACAATATATCTTCTAAATATATATAGCTATTGTGTTTATTTTTATTAAATTTGTTGAGATAACAATCAGCCGTCACTGAATAATTCTTTCATAAATCAGAGACATAGGATATACATATATAGTCTTTTAATACAACTCGCCTCGCTGCATCGCAACGGTACGGGTCAAAATTTATTAAATCTTGATTAAACACACACAACGCTTTTGATTGTTTTGCGAAATTGAAGAAAAACTCTAGGCTTTTTTTTGTAGATATTTTTATCCATCCCCGGATAGCAACTCGATTGAATGCCACTGCTGCACTATAAATTCCACCGCTCGATTGCGAGAACCGTTTTTGGAGATTACAATTGATCGACGTTTGCTGAAATCTAAGCTTTTACGATACCGAAAACTCTGCGAATTTTTATGAACGCTTTAGCTCCTAACTTTTCTCGTGGGGCGAATTTTAGTTGACCTAGATATACATTTTTTTGAAGCTTAATCAACTTAACTCTCGCTCTTTTGTGGTTCTATGAATCGCAATAAGAAAACCCGAGTCGAAATTATTTTGAGAAAAGTCATTGGAACGAATTGTAATAATTCGGATCCTTGGTTAAAAATTATTCATCGTAACAGAAATGATTTCGAATCCAGACGCTATCTTCCAGACTGTGCTCTGGACAAACTCATTTTAGGTGCTTATTCATACATTCGCATTATACATATATTCACACAAATCAATTTACTTGAGAGTGCAAGTCACAAAGTTCTTATTATCGCAGTGATTGATTAGCGTGAATAAACGTACCGCTGTACATATTAACTTTTAAGTATCTGGAAAGCTAACATTGCGACAAATTAATTATCGCAGCTGTCATTTTTCTCCGCTGCGATATCGCTATTGTAGAACGAAGCGACTCTTCGAGAAAAAGGGGGAAAAACATTATCGTGAATTATATCATTGTATAATTGTGTATAGAGATTATTTCTCTTATTTACCTCTGCAATTTTCTTGAATAAATAAAATTGTTCCTGTTCTCTGTTTATGCAGGATGCGGAAGTATCGCACCGAAGTCCACTTGGGGTAAAGTCGCTACCATGGGCTACGCCAGCCTCGGGATACCTTTGACTTTGGTTTATCTGTCCAGCGCAGGAGGTCTTTTATCGAGATGCGCCAGAGGTGTTTTCACGCGAGCTCTTTGCTGCTGTCTTTGTTCGAATTGCGGCTACTGTTGCTACGACGAGAGGCGGATGCAGGTTAGCGAGCAACGGGACGTTTCTCGTGAATTTTTCGTACTTGATAAAAAATGTAATCGTAGAGTGCCGATTTTTTTCGCATTGAAAAAAAAACCGGATACGTGATCGGAAACACATATGTATGTTGCAACGGGTCGATAGCCTTGCCTATGCATGTCCTGTACAATCGATAAGGATTAATGTGGTTACCGAGATATTGATTGGTTATTGTTAGAGAGTACTATTCAAATAAAATTGGATCAGCTTCGAAAATCCCCCGACACTCGAGATACAAGAGTGTAAACGATGTCGGCGTTTATTCGAAAGCGTCGCGTTGCAACGAATGAAATTGGCACGCGTATAGAATGTAGATCGCGTCGGAGATGAAAAAAAATGATATGAAAAAAAGTAAATAAATTTTTGCATGTTCTCGAGAGCATTTTTTCCTATGTACAGGAGAAGGAGCGACGGATGAGAAAAAAGCGGCAGCAGGAGGAGCTGGCGCAGCAACAGCAGCAGCAATTGCAATTGCAGGAACCCTTTTACGTTCGCGCAAATGCATCGACGTTCACAAGTACCGTGGAAATTAAGGCCAGCCCGAAGGATGAAGTATCCAGCCTCGGTTCAGGCGACAGACCCAATGTCACTATACTCGCGCCAATCAGTATTTGCCTTGGAGCGATGTTATGTTACATCGTTGCCGGAGCATTCACTCTGCACAAATTGGACGGTTGGTCATTTGTAGGTAAGTTTGAAAATAAATAAAAACAAATTTAAAAAATTTTTATATCGAAAAAAAAATTCATCAAACGTATGCTCTGTGTTCCGCGTCGGTTCTCTATACATGAAGTAGTTTCCAAAACATTTTTCTCAAAGTACAGTTTTTCCAAAAAATTAATGCGGTCGTATTTTCTCTGCATTTCTGTTGGCATAAATTCTGCGACTATATAAGATATAAAATTCATACGTAAATATAAAGTTATAGAGTATCTAGTGTCGTGTCGCGAAAGGGTTAATAGCGCGCTTCTTTCACATCTATAGACGCGAGCTATTTCTGCTTCATGAGCCTGAGCACCATCGGTTTCGGCGACATGGTACCCGGTTCTTATCCTCGTCACACCCTCGCCGACTCGAGAAACGTGACGGTGTGGTTCTGCTCGTGCTACATAATGTCAGGAATGGCACTGACAGCGATGTGCTTCAACATCCTCCACGACGAGATCGTCCATCGGCTGACTCACCAGCCGGATAAACCAGAGCCAGTGAAACCAAGCCCATCCGTGGACGAGCTATCGACGGACCCGTTTGCGCTGACCTCGTGACAATTTCCGTCGGGCAATCTGTGCCACAGGAACGGCACCGACGAGAACAATATATGTGGCACGGAACCACCCACCAATATATTCGCTCACGAGAATGAGATCAACATCCTAAAGGATACCTTCAATCAAGTGGACGTTACTAGAGACTGCAAGCCGATCCTGAAGCTCGAGGATCATGTTCCACCAATTTCTGCTGTTTACATGTTGCCCAAGGTCGACGAGGAGGCCGAGGAAAATACAGAGATGTGAGCACTCTGACGGATTTCCGAAGATTGACAGTCAGGTCTGACGGTTAAGTTCAATCATCTGGAGATTACCGAAGACGGCATTTTTACAAATCGTAAGCAGATGAGTAGGTATATATGTAACATGTTGTATATGCTAAATCAGATCGTGACAATGGAAGGATGTTCTTGTTGAATCTATTATTGACGTTGAATTTATTACGTTCTAAAATAATGACTTTAATGCAAATACAAGAAAGTATAAGTAATTGAATTATATATATTCATTAAGAAAATTTGATTATCTTTTTCATATAATAAAATAATAAATGTGCATACATTATTGCAACATTTTTTTCTATTGTTTTTTATATTTTAACTTATTTTATACATCTAGATTCAACGATTGATGATAGAGTCATTAATACTCCTTCATTAATGATGGACATAAATAAACAATATGCTATCTGGGACACACTCAAAAAATTCAAGAATAAGTGCTTGAACCGTAAACGCAAGTAGGACATCCTCCTTGAAATCGATATAGCAAGAGTTTCAGTTTCGCTTGTATAATAAAGATAATCTAAACTCAATATTTACACTGTGCCGGCACAATTACATTTTAATAGAATTTCAATCGTTCAATCCGATTACTGAGAATTAAATAATTATCGACAAAAATATTTGTCGATAAAAATATCCGTCTGTGATTAATCTATGCACGTAATATTATATTATTCTTAATTGGCAAAAATTGACATAAAAATAAAAATTTAACTTTGTTTTATAATATTATCTCAAAGTTTTTATGTCACGTTTTTATATAATCGTAATTATAACTGAAATAAAATTAAAATATATATATATATATATAAGATATAATTATTGATACTTTTTATTTACACAAGAGTAGCTCTGAATAAAAAGTAACATATTCGTAATTAAGTCATATTTGATAAATACAGTAATAGCATTTATAAGTTCTAAGTAAGGTGGCACTGAGGTAAAGGCAAAGTGTCTCTCAAATGTCGTAGGAATTTCTTGAACTTCCACAGAGACGTTGCCAGGTTAATCTGGAAGTGTCCTTAATTAATGTTTGCTGGATATTGCTAGAGAATATAAAGCTACCGTTGTCACAAAAATGAGATTTCGCGTGTCGAAAGGATAAATGCAAATTTATTTGAATTTGCTTAACAAAGTTTCTTCATGCTGATTAAATGCACGAATTATTATTAAAGATTTTAGAGTACAGGTTTATTTAAAAGCTGTTCGTAGATGCGTCGTCTTGGTATCAGTTTCAAGTAATTTAGATTAATTGAAGAAATCACGAAAAGAATAAAATCCCAAAAAGCCATGAGTCATTCGATTAAGATATCCGCATACCGGGTATTGACGACGGGAAATTACGTTTACGTCGTCAATAAAATGAGTAGAGCAAATGACCGGCATAAAATAATTTCCCAGGGGGCAATGGTGCATTTCATTCGCGGCCGGTACGCTGTTCGTGTACGGAAATGTTAAAACTCTTCTTTTATTTTCCTATCTTTCTTAGTCGTGTCACGTACGGCTCTGTTGCTTCCTAAGAAAGTCTTGGGATTGATTGAAAAATTGATATTTTTTTCGATATAAATAATGCCTTAAAAACATCGTGTCTTGAAGAGTAAATTAAATACTCGCAAATGATATTGAAATAAAAAATTTTGAAAATAATTCTACATGTGCATATAAGTACAAAAAAAGATATACAATATATTTATATGCATCGTTAAATATAAATAACGAAGATTTGTCAAATCTCTCGAGAATCAACATAATCATCATGGAGGCACCATCTCCATTTCTTTTCACGATCCACTTTCGCCAAAAAGTCTGATTCGATATCCGGCAGAGATATTCTCTTACGAAGGACGAATTAACATATCTTTGAATAATAATTCTGCAGTAAATCACGCACAAGAAAGAGAGAATTTTTACGAAATCCCCCTTGAAATTAATTTCCGATAATGCCGGATCTGTGCTTGACGTCAATTCCTTGGTAAGCATATTACGAGCGAAATCACTTGGGCGAAATCAATCTAGATGTACCGGCGGACTCGAGTATAGCTCACCTCCGCTTGATATTCAATGAGATTTCGAGGACGTCCTGGCTTGCGCGGACGGAGATCGACTTAATGTTTCTACACGCCTACTTAGATAGGGACATGTAAGGATTTTTTATATTTCCGTAACTTAAACGTTTTCGCGAAGTAAACGTGTTCTTGTCTGTAATATAATTAACATAAGCTATCTCGATCCTTGCGTCTGGCTCAAGGACGGATCGAGGAGATATGCACGTACAGTCGTGCATGGTGCACTCATTTATCGATCGATCTGTCATTTCTTTTCCTATGTCCTCGCGATTCTATCGAACTGTAATTTCAATCACACTGCCGTACGTAAAACTCTACTAAAGATAGCAATGTCGTTGAGTAAAGTGATTATGTTTCCCAAAGGGATGAGCAATATTAAAAGTGAAACGACCACTTGAGGATGCTGACTGTTCGTGTGCACAAAAAAGAATCTACAGAATATTTTATTGTAATTTTAATTCAGCAAAATAAGAAGCGACACTTGTTTAGCGATAATTGTAGCGAATCTTATAATAATATAATAATAATAATAATTAAACGACTTAATATTGTTTATACTGCCGTCGGCTGGACGCTAGAATCAAATGAATGAATAAAAAATCAAATTCTGTGCTCAAGAACAATAACTAAGGTACTTACGGATAAGCATTAATTCCTAAGGACGTTGCGTTAAAAAAAAGACACGCGCGCACGACTTATCCCCGTTCTTTCATATTGATACTCGAATAATCTACGAGAAAAAGTGCGTAAACAAAGCGTAACTGTGAATTAGTTAGAAATTATTTTCGTTGCGTATAAGGCAATCTTTGTGTGCAATGATTGACATTATACAATATAAGCGTGCCACACAAAGCCCTATGTTGTTGTATTAAATATTCTTTACATATTTTTACGCCTATAAACGATATATAATTTAATCTAAAATTGAAAATAAAATTAGAATAAATGATATACTACATTCAAGTTGTAGTACTTTTTTAGAATACATTTTATGGATACATTTTTTCTTTGCTAATACGAAGCGAAAAGTTGACGCCGAACCGACATAAAGCCTGCCTTTGCACGACGCAGAGAGGACACGATACGATCCCGTAAAACGACTTAACGCGTGCCCCTTTCTTCAGTTTTCTCCTAACATATCATATCTGGTATAAACGGACATCGTCTTGTCGGGGGAGACTCTCGAACGTTCATATACGTACATACGTTATCTCGATATTAAAAGCTAATCCGAGCGAATCGGCGAGATGACTATCGTGCCCAACCGTGCAACTAACAGACGAGAGAATCTCGTACAGTGTCTAATGACAATCGATACTGGGCTTGAGCAGTCGCTAGAGTTATCGTTATCACTCCGTCGGTGATTCGATGGAGGGTCGTGGCCGGCAGCCAAGACAAACTTTACTTTGGTGCTCGTACCAGGCTATCCAGCCATCGATCCACCCTCTACACCATACCCGCCCATACAAACTTCCTCACACTCAGGGGTTCGGAGTTGAGGCGGGCGCTTGCTCCAAGCTGGCGCTACGGCGATTTGTTGCGAGAATCTATTTACAACTTTCCATATACGTCCCCGTGTACGCGAGGAATCGCGCAATAACCGCCGGCGTGTCACGATTGCAAATACCGAAGAGAGTGCTTGAAAGTTGGCTGTCGTATTTTTTACCTCGAAGATGAAGTACTTTGGAAAAGAATAATACGTGAAAGAAAGGAGAAGAGACGGATATCAAATATCATGCGACTGATATTTTGCATAATCTTCTAATTAAACTTTTTATTAATATCGATATCCTTGTACGCGATGCTTCAAACCATTTCTTTTTACTCGCCTTATTTTTCAGATCATTTTTAATTCTTTCGCAAAGTTTCGAGATAATAGACTCATTTACGAGGTGAACTCGCGAAGCGAATTAAAGTTTGATGTAACTTTTCGCTACGGATATTGAATTCGTTTATAATGTAAGTGAATTTGGCTACATCAAGGAAATGTATATATATCATATCGTATCATCAGTTTGCTGCTGGAAATGAACAAGAAAGTTAAAGGAATATAAAGAAGGAGTTATATACAATCTCTTGCATCTCTTACCTAAAAACTTTTTAATTGTTATTAGAGTTGATATATAAACATATATAATTTCATGTTATGCATCTCTCTTTATATTACATAAGCTTATAGAAAAGTTTTATTACACACGTATCCCGCGTAAAAAGAGAATAACAAAACGAACTCTATTACACTTTTACATTCATCGATTTTTTTTATGTTTTTTGAATTTTTATTTCTGTATGCGAAATTGATGAGAGACGAAATATCTGGTCTTTTCTTAGGGTTAGCATCATTACTGTTATAGTACAGCGCGGATTGTGGCGAGCGATCCTTTACGTCAATATATAACGCCGTCTATAAGCCCAGGACGAAGTCCCAGCGCGGCGAAAGTCCAGGCCGGCTTCTCTCCTTTCACAGGATTTTCTTTCCTACGTAGCTCCTCATCTTTCGCCCTTACGTTCCGGTTTCCTCTGTCGTACTCCAGGGAAATATAACCGAGTTCAAAGCTCTCGACGGTCGACACGAAACTTTAGCGCGACAATTTTGCACAAGAAATATCCAATGAAAGTCAAACGCCACGGGATTCAGCCTCATCGGTGCGTTTCGGCCTTGGTGAAAAAAAAATAAAGAAATAAAGGGAAGAAAAGTAAAAAGCCCGCCCGACCTTCCAGCAGCCGACTTAATGGAATTAATGGTTTTCTGCTGTCGCCTTACATATTCATTCCGCGCGCGAATCGCCGAGTTTTCGAAAGCTTCGAGAAAGTCGAAGTCTATGTCTCTTGACACTCAATTGCGCCTCTATCAGGGGCAATTAATGTTTCTGCTACTTCTGACTGCTATCGTTTTCAAAGAGCTTGAGCAAAGTGCTACCAAATTAAAGCAAACTCACTTTGCGCAAAGTTATTATTATATACTTGACCAATGTGCTTGCTTCTAATTTATTTTTATTTAGCTTTATCTTCTCGAAGTTCACAAACATCTCTAGCAAAGGATTATTTATACTATGATATTTTTATGGGAATAAAATATTTATTTGCGTATCTCAGTTTAAGACAAATATTATATAGACAAATATTTGCTATCAGGATGCGATACTGTTGTCGTTATTACTGAAGCGAATATCGAAGCGAAATTGTAAGAGATGAAATCTCGGAAGAGAAATTTCTCTCTTATTTATAAATACTTGAGTTGCAAGGTAGCTTGATGAAAATTTAATTTTCATAATCAAGAAATTAACGAGAGATCTGCTTCTGCCGTCCTTCTATATCGCAAATCTTATACAAAATTGTGCCGTGTATTATTGTCGTAATATATATAATATATATTAGCACAAATTATTATTAAATGCGATTTAACGTATGATTGATCCGTATTTGTAATATACTTTCACCCCGTCTCTCATTCAGATGAAACTGTATAATTATTAATACAATATCGAGATAAAGTAAAATAAAAAGATAAATTTTGTTCTTTATATCTTTAATTATGCCACTTTTTATAAATTACGCGCAAGTTTTATAAATCAATCGCAGATCTTTATTTAGGTATAAAGCGATTCTATCGATACGATCAATGACGTTAATGAAATTAATGTCATTATTAATATGAATATTATTTGTACATAGCATTAATATATAATTGTATGATAATATTATATTAGTATTTACTGTTAGAATGTCAAGTCCAATTATAGAGTCGTATTCATTATGGCTCGATCGCTTTCATTGACAATGAAAGAAAACTCACAGTTGTAAATATGATATTGTCTTAGAATATAATAGACATGAATGTGAAAAGTCTTGTTAGATCTTGTTGTTGAACAACAAGAATTATAAGTTGCGCAGTTTTTCATTATAATATCGACTATTCATTTTACTTTTGCCAATGTCGACAAGATTAAATATCGAGAATGTATATGAAAGAGTATTCATGTCGGAGCTGATAAGAATGTTGATTTTGATTACCGAAACGTATAACAGAGATGCTATTCTATATCGTTAAACAAAGCTTAGGGAGCATTTATTGCCGCTGTTAATTTATGTTGAAAATATTCGTAATATAAAACTTTGTTTAAGACATATCTTTATTTTCCGAATTGAGCATCTCTCAGGGAGAAAAATGTAATAAAGATCGCCTACCACCCAAACACCGTAATAAATAATTCCTTGTACCGTTTCCTTCCTTGGAGAATTAACTTGGAAGTATCTAATTTGTAAGAAACTTTAAGCGAATAAATAATTTCAAAAATTTTCAAATAATTATATAGATTCTTTAGAAAGGAAAGGAGAGAGCACACTTTTGCTAAGTAACGTACAATGCGGCAGTAATCATTCTCGTGTTCTGCTCATAAATCATCTCGATAATTCTTTGCGAGAGCAGGAAAAATCTTAATAAATGTCTGATTCTCTAAACTTTGCGCGCGTCGTCGATCAAAACAAAGTTTTCTATACGCTTATACAGCGACCCGCTGCGTCCGCGAATTAATCATAGTTAAAGTTTTCCAAGGTTCGCTCATGGACTCATCTCTTTTTTTTCGGCGATTATGCGTTTCTGCAAGATACACAAGCATCCGGAAATTTAAAATTTCCATCTTGATAAGACCTGATGACGTTAGAAGTAAAAAACGCACAATATTTTTACCGTGTGTTACACATTTTTTTAAAAAAGAATCGATTCTGAACGCGGGGAATTAGGAGATATATAGGCGCACATACACACACACACACACACACACATGGTGAACATTTTCGAGTTTATATTGTATGCCGAGAAACTAAAGTCTTATTAATATTCTGTAAATAATGTCGTGAAGGAGAGCACAAGAGATGTGAAGTGTTTTGGCCGACGAAATTGTAAAATACAAAGCGAACGATTTGCTGGTATTGTACGTCTGTATAATCATTTGTCAAGCAATGTATCCTACAAATAGGAGATAATAAAAGGGACTTATCACAAAATTTCAGCGAGTCATTATTGTCTGCGAAAATATTTTGGAGTTATTTTTGTTTCTAATTTTCAGGCAAATTTAACATGCATGTAGACAATTTTTTCGGAATACTGATTCTATCGAAGTCCTCATCGTTCGTCAGCGGTGCATGCTGACCTTGATGAAAATTTATCTGAGTAATTTTTATGCTGTACACACGAGTGAATTAATCATACGTTCAGATCTTTGGCGACATTACATGTCGGTGTAACGATCTGTGTCTAATTGTTAATCTTTTTATTCGTTCCATTCACTATTATATGCCTTACTGCCAACGATATTATAATTAACTCTTATTGCAATATATATAAATATATATATATATATATATATATATGTTACAAACTAAAAAATAAAACATTTTAAATCTTTCTTTAATTTAAATAAAAATGTCGGATGAAAGTTTAAACAAGAATTTAAAAAAACCGATCATCTCTCTCAATCGTTTAAAAATCGTAAATTTTATTATTTGTATTCAAATCAACGCACATTTATTATAAAATATATGAAAAAAATTATAACAAAAATAATTTCTCATAGCTATACATTCGCGGTCACAATTTGCAGTGTACGGACGATATTAAATTTATGAAGGCAATATATGCCGAGACCTATCGACCCAATGACACAACGAGATTGAAATTAATGATTTCTATCTTTTATCGCCGTAATCCTGTATAATTCGGTATAAGACATAATCACGCGATAAATACTAATATCGCTCGAGGCAACTAAGAGGTAACGATAATAGTAATAAAAATGTTCTTGTCGATGAAAAATATACTGTATATAACGATGGCGTATGTATTGCGATTGATTTAAAAAATATATCGACATGGTAAATTAAATTACCATTCAAGATATAAAAAGTGATATTCGGTAATTGTAAGCAAATGTAATGAGAATGAAATGTCGCAGTTAATATGACATAAAATGATCCAAATCAACCAATAAACTATGAAAATGTGTCACAATATTTTTTATAAAATGTTTCAGAAATAAAAAATGTAAGCATATATGTGACTCTAAAATTTTTTTAATCAAGTTATATTTAAAAAAAGAGAGAATTTTCTTAATTTTCTTATCTGATTTCTTAATTTTATTGTTGTTTTAATACACCGATTGCTTTTCTCAGTATCTGACACTCTATAATGTTCTGTTTACAATGATGAAATTAATTTGTTAGATTATAATTATTATTAATAATTAAATGACAATGCATTGCAAATATCAGACTTTTCAAGTACGTGAATATTTTTTCAAAAACACAAGAAATATAAATTAAAAAATATGTGTATAAAAATAAAAAAATTATATAAATCATCACATATATATATCCTCAAATATTTGAGTTTGAGCTAATTTATGGAAAGATCCCTGAATTTCGCATCGCGTGATCATCTCCATTTCGCCATCTCGTCTCAATAGCACAATAGATAAATCTGGGTGATAGCATCGGAGCACAAATACAAACCTGGACGTAACATCAGCTCGCGCACATATTCTGGATGCCAATAAGTAAACAAACCGCGGCGCGAAATGGAATCGAAATCGGACCATAAATCTCGAACGTAACCGTGCGAAATTGTCGAGAAGGCAAAGATACATAACCGTGGATCCTCGTTCATTTCTATTCTTTATCTTTTTTTTCATAAATCGAGTATGTTTCTCTACTAGATGGAATAAACTTATTCTTGCGCAAAAAAATAATAGCTATAAATACCTATAAATATCTTCTTCATTCATCATTGTTTCGCGAAATGTATATTTGCTATTTGCTGGAAAAGATTTTTCACTCTATTTTTTGAATTTTCACCAATTGTTAAAATTTTTGTTTGCAATCATAATATTTTTTGTATATTTTGTCTTATAATTTTAAAAGAATAAAAAATTACAATCGTAATTGATTTTCGTGTATTTTTTATATTTTATATGTTTCTTGAAATAATATTTTTAATAATTATTCTAAAAAAATATTGCTGTAAGTTTTCTTTGCGTCACGCGAGTCTGATTATTACATAAAATAAAAATACAAAATCTAATGCTTTACGTTATTTCTTCTCAACCTGAATTATTGTTTTAATCAATATAACACTTAAAATCGATATTTATACACCTCTGGATCTAAGTCGATTTACTTTTGCAAATACTTGTTATCAAATATAAAATATTTCAACGTGATTTAATGAAAACTCACGATTTATCGGCGCAGCGCAAGTTCGCGTCGTTATCCACCGCCGGCGCGTCAGCGACTCGTTTCATCTACTCCCAGTCCGCCGAAGCTTCGGCGGACCGCCGCAGAGGGCAGCGCTGCTCGCGCAGTGCATCAGACCGGCGCATAGCTCGAGAACGGAAGAACATATGTTTAGCCAAGCGGCGCGTGCGCAGTGACCGCTTCCGCGACGTACCTAGCCATCTTTCCAGTCAAGCAAAAGTGATTGTTTTCAGTCTTAGTCTTATTTAACTGAACTTTTATTAATGTCAGAGCCACAGTCCGCGCTGCTGTTACGAAAACAATTAGCAGGTACAATGTGAGCTTGGTTAGAGTGTCGAGTGCGGTTGAACCGGGCGCGGAATCGCGGCCGGAACACGGCGGAATCCCGTGTGCGGTCTCGTGCGACTCGCGCTCTCGAGGCAGGGACTCCTCGTCGCAGCCGAGTGCGAGGCTCTCGACGTCGGGCCTCGGCCGGGGCCGTCGTTCCTCGTTCCGGGGACTCCTCGAGCTCGCGGTGACCCGCCGTACGGCGCCTCCTCGCCGGCTCGCCGCGGCGGTGCGCACAGATACGGGGCGTGAAAATCAATACGGCTCTCTTTCGCGGAGAGAGCCTGTGTGTGTTCTGCGCCCGTGAATAATGTTTAACCTAAGCGCTCTCTCTCTTTCTCTTGTCCTCGTCGACGTCGTCGTCGACGCCGACCTTTCGGTTTCTCTCTCTCTCTTTCTTTATTATATTCGCGGTCGGTCGCCGACCGCGAGCAGCCGGCTCCGGAGACGACGTCGACGTCGACGTCGAGGACGAGAAGGCCGTGTCTCGTGCCCGAAAATAATTGTAGGCCTTGTTATTTATAGCGTACGCGCGTCACTGACTACGTCGCGCGACGTTTATCCTCTCGGGAAAAAAGAAATATATCGAGAGCGAGGGAGCGAGAAGGAGAGAAAAACCGGGAGATACATGTATATGCATACACGTATACGTTGTATACGGGGGACGAGATACGAGAGAGAGTGTGAAAGAAAGATGAGAGAGTGAGAGCGCGCCGTGCAACGACCATCGAAGGTCAGCCGCCTTCGGGCCATGCTCCCCTGCTCCTGCTCCAGTCGGGATCGACGCTACGAAAAATGCCTCGCCGGAGAGTTCGCCTCTCCTTTGTGCGACAGAGTCGCGCCGCGCGCGCCAGAGAAAGAGAGAACGTCGTCGCGTCAGTAACCTCGTGCCTCGTCTCCTTCGCGCTGACTCACCGCGCGCCGATCTTATGCGGCTATTTTGCGTTAGGGCCGAACCCTAACCTGTACGCGTCTCCGGGACGAGAGTATGCGCCGATTGACAAGCGCACACACACGCATCCTCGGCTTGCATCCCCTCGAATGATGCTGCTCTTTTGCATGCAACCGTAGGAGACATAACCTCGACGTTTACGATTGTCAAAAAATTCGTCAATCTTAGGATTATTTGTACCTTCGCTAGAAACTTGTTAGAGGACTTGTTTCCTCTCTCCCGCTTTTTAAATGTGTTGTAATGTAGGGAGCACGTTTTGGAGTTTATTTTAATTTTTCTTACAACGTTGTGTTTATTTTGCTATTGTATCTTTCATATATATTTCTTAAGCTTTTTATTATATTTCAAATGTTTGAAGTATTACACAAGTTAATTAAAGTTATTATTTCATAGGATTAGAATATAATGTACAATTTGTTAATATTGCTTTATATGTGAAGCAACATTATTTTCTGTACCTATACACATTTATACATATTTTTTCATATGTATTCTCTCTTTATTACGTGCTCCGGAAATTAGCGTGTTTAATAATCACAAAATGTAATATATTAATATATGTCTGTTTCTATTTTATAGAATTAAATAAAAACCCAGTAGAAGGGTTTTCTGCAGGCCTCATAGACGACAATGACATATATCGGTGGGAAGTACTCATTATTGGACCTCCGGATACATTATACGAAGGTGGTTTCTTCAAGGCACATTTACAGTTTCCAAAAGAATATCCACTTAGGCCACCACGAATGAAATTTATAACCGAAATATGGCATCCAAATATTGATAAAAATGGAGATGTGTGTATATCGATACTGCATGAACCTGGTGACGACAAATGGGGTTACGAGAAAGCATCCGAGCGGTGGTTACCGGTTCACACAGTCGAAACTATTCTGATAAGTGTTATTAGCATGCTCGCAGATCCTAACGATGAAAGCCCTGCTAATGTGGATGCCGCCGTAAGTTTTATATATTTATAGAGTTCAGAACCATTATATCGCATCATTTTGTTCCTTTTTTTCATAGTGACGATTTATTTTTTATTGCAGAAAGAGTGGAGGGAAAGTTATACGGAATTTAAAAGAAAGGTGGCGAGGTGCGTGAGAAAAAGCCAAGAAGAGTGTTTGTAGGGGATGAACAAATATACAAATGGAAAGACTTATTTAATTCTGGTAAGTTATATGAAAACAATCATTAATATCGCCATTATATTATTTATGATTGTTAATAATTAGATTTCGGATTATATATAAATTGCATATTTGTTACTGTTTGTATTCTACGAAAACATTAATAATATTAACAAATTATAATAAAACATAATTTGTTCACATTATTAATGCTCTCATAGAATATAAAAAAAATAACCAACGTGCAATTTGCATCTAATCCGAAATCTATTAATAATATTGGCAATATTGTTTCGATTACTTTATATGTATAATTATTTTATATATTACTTAATATAGGGAAGCCGTAAGCACTGTAAGAAAGAAACCGATGCTCAGCATAAAGCTAACGGACAACAGTGCCACTAAAAGCGGAATAAGCCTGACCTATCCTTATGCAGAGAGAAGAAGACAGAGTGTGTGTGAACGCGAGAGAAGAACTCACGCTGCTCTATCATGTTTATTAAACCACCGCCACCAACATATGATCCAGATCCATCGAAATGGAGAACATAAAAGAAATACACACGCAATTCACCTTTTACATAATAAACAGCTAAAGAAAATTAATTTACACATATACATAAAGCAAAAAATCATCTCTGTATAATTACTACCTTAATATTAATAGTTCTTATAAACTCTTAACTCTCCCCGCCCCTCCTATGCTCAAGAACTACCCCGAGCCCCTTTGGACCGAACCTTGTAATTTAAATAATATGTTTACGTTTATCTCAATAATAATTCCTTAGTGTCGTTTCGTATTTTCTTACTTTCGTAAATATATACATGTATAAATAAATTTTTATAAAATCAAGGAAAAAGACGGGACACATACAACAATCGTGTAATATGTCAGCCATTGCGAGAATGGACTGCGTACGAATTAATTGATACACTGTGGTGAGAATAATGCCGTACTTACGCACGGCAATGTAAAAATATATGTTAAATTTTAATCGAACCGTAAGTTGCCAAAATGATGAATTTTAATTCAAGTGATAATAATGATAATATTATTATTAATGTATCCATAATTACAGCTAGTTCGTCTGACAACACGTTATAGATATTCTTTCTTGAACTATTCATAATAGGAATGAATAACGGCGCTTTCTTTGCAAAGTAAAACTTGCGGTTCTTTTTTTCTTTTTCTAATCAATTATAATTATGTGACTTATTTAAATAGTTATTTAAATATTTTTTTTTTAGCAAATTTGTTCACAATTTAAAAAAATTAAAATTTAAGTTAAAATAATTCATCTGTTATTTCATATTGTCAATTAAATCTTAAGCATTGAAACAGCGTCTGTCTTACATTACACCTACTCTTTTTCTCATCTATTTCATTGTATTATTTATCGCATTTTCCTACCGGAATAATAACAAGCAGATATGTGTACATTTCCATTAGAGCATCATATTTTATTTCTATCATTCTCATACATTTATACATTTATTTAAAAACTTATACAATTAAATATATATATATATAGGAATATTTGTGTGAACTAATGAAAAAGAACTTCTTTTGCAGTTTTTGGACAGCAATCAGTAAGTGTATGTTTTTCGTAATAATACAAATGATAATAATAGTATCTTATCGTTTGTAATATTTTATACATGATTTATATATATCCACGTTTTTCTTTTTTTGTGTTTATATTTTTATATTTAATGTTTTATAAAAACCAATAACATTGTGTGCAAGAAAACGTTTATGCACATTATGTTAGAGAAAATATCTCGAAAAAATATAATAGGTATATGTAGTAAAAAGACTCCATTATTAATTATGGACTTATCATAATTACTTTTCGAATGCCAGTTATAAAAGTACCTTTAAGCAGAGATTTATATAGTGGAAATCCAAATTATTCGCATATATGTAATTATATAATAGTAATCTTAATATAACTAAAAAACCTAGTAAAATACATACTAATAGTTAAATTATTAATAAAATTATTTCAATTCTAAAAGAAAAAATATAATCAATATATTTATACATTATATTAAAATATATATAAAATACTTTTAACAAATATACATAAAATTTATATTTGCAATTGAAGGTAACCAGTTGCAAATTATAAAAATCTACGTAGAAGAACCATCCGTTGTTTGTCTCCAAGATGCCGCTCCAGTAAACATTACGATAAAAAATAAAAATTTTTCTTAATAATTATTTAATACGCTTCAAGATTTATTTTTGCTTCTTTGTCACTTTGTTATAGATAATAATATGTTTAATTGTCGTGCTTGTACGGTAATATATAAATGTAATAATTTAAAGATATATACAAAATATAATTAATTTTGTTAATATATGCAAGAACAAAAAGAAAAAAATATTTGTTTGAATTAATCAAATAGTTTAGTTATTTTATCAAAATACTTTATATAATTATGATATTTTTATCCGCAAAAGTTTGCTTATGAGTTACATAAAGAAAAGATAAAGAATACGGAAAAAGGGAAAAGATGGGTTATTATAATAATTAGCAGCATAATATATATATATTTTTAATACAGGTTTTTTAATTTAGAAATTTTTGAAAGGAGACATTGATATGAATAATATAATTATATGTATATACAATGAAGATAATCTTCCATTTCTCGTGGTTGAATTATATTATTGCATGTTTAAGAACTAATACGAATTTTATATAAACCGATAAGAGAGAATGCAAGATTTATTTATTAAATCAGAATAACAAGAATAATCAGCATAACAATACTTAAGAGTGTTCGAGACATCGAGTGCTCTTTGCATTATTATGTATATTTTTACAAGTTTCTTAATTTATTGCATAGCGCCTTACTGTTGAATTATAGAAATATATAATTTAAAAGAAGATATATATATATATGTGTGTATGTTACTTTGCTCCTTAATAAATCGTGTCATTTTATGTTATAAAGATTAAGAATATTGTGAAACATTTTCTGTCTTCATGAAAAATAACGATTTCTGGTATCCATTTGCGAATCATAAAATATGGTAATCATTATATAAACATGCACATTTAAAATTAATTAAAAAGATAATCTCCACTTATTCGCGTTAAATGCGACGAGAGAATAAATGTTTCAAAGTTGGAAATGAAAAGAGAAGGAAAAAATAATAATATAAAGCACGTGCTCTCAATGTCTCCGAGGCGGTATTATCGATATTTTGTTGTAATAAATCGTTCTAATTTTAAAATTCTCATGGAAGATATGGATGTATACTATAATTTACTTGTGTAGAACGCGCGCGCAGTGTGTGCGTAAAGGAGTTATATTAAAGACCCTTAAGTTATAAGATCGTCAATAAATCTCTCATATATCTTCAATACTTTGTTTATACCTTATTTATTTCTTTTTTATCTTCGTATAATAATCATAAACGTACAATTTAAAACAATAGTGCTCGTGTGTTTATGCAATGTACAGGATACTCTTTAAGCTATAATACAGTTCGAAATAAAATACAAATCAATAGACTATTACTTTAGGTAAACCTTCTTGTTTTTTTTCTGTTTAATACATTATTTTCACTACTGGATGACAGTGTCCTTCCTTCGGTTTTGTGTGTGGTTCGTTTACTCTCTTCCCTTTTGATCATCGTATGCCCGCGCGTTTGCATTTCGGGTTGCACACGCGCGCGTTTCACCTGGATGCGTCTCCTTGGGGGGTTTGGGGGGGGGGGGCCTCAACAGCTTTTGAATGTGTCTATCTACAATTACCTTTTGTTGTAAAATATTCATTATTAGGTTTACGATATGATTTCCCTCCTTCCCGCCGTTGTCGATAACGCTAATAACGCATTCGCACGCATTTACGCACTTGTGTATATTATTCGTTACGTTATAATACATGTTCCGTCTTTACGCACATTCTTAGACGGTCTCGTCGATCTTTGTCCTCGACATAAAAGTTGTACCGCGTTTAAATAATTAAAGCTATCGGCTATCTATATCGGCTATTCTGTATCTACAAAGAATCTATATGCGTTACGCTTGTTTCGCCGCGAAAAATGAAGAAAAGGGAAACAATCATAATCGTGGGTATACATGATAAAATAAATCGTAAGATCTCGTCGATCCGTCGAATGATGAGACGCTTTATCGGCTAAATTGCCGATCATCTCGCCGGTATATGTTGAGTTTAAAATGTCGCATCTATAATATAGATCCTGAAGAATGAAAGGCTCGATGATCGGACTTTCGTCATCGGTGAGGGATCGACGATTGTCTATTCGAATTGTTTCGTGATTGCCGCGCGTCAATCGAAAAATCGAAAAGATGGATATCGAATTAATGCTCGATCGTGAAATAATAATGGTGAAATAATTTAGTTTGGTATATAGTTCGAAGATTTGAGATCGCACGCGTTTGTTCTCCGTCTTTGTTTTCTCCCTTGCTTTATCCACTAATCTAATTCCACACATTCGGAGCTTTCTCTATCTCGCAGCCGCATCGATATATATATATATATATATATATATATATATATATATATATATATGTATATATATCATTCGACGATCATACAAACGATCGACGAGATTCTCTCGTCTAACATATGTATACGATCGTTTATATCCTCGTCGATCGCCAGGCTACGTTTTCTCGTGAAATTCGGATCACTCATCGTCGACAGGCGGAATTCAGCGTCAATTAAATTACGAGACGTAATCGCACGAGTATATAGCAATATATGTACACATTCGATATTCCGGTGTCCGATCGACTTTCGTCGTGACGATTCATGAAAAATTTATGAAAGAATCGGGGATGAGGGATTTGGGGGGATGAGTCGGGGGTGGAGGATAGGGGGAAAGAATCAATCGATCACTGATCTCTCTCTCGTTTAGCAATGCCCTTCTATATAGCGATCGTCTCGCACGAAACTCCTAGATGCGCCTCTGCCTCGTACAATATCTCTCATTCGCGTTTGTTCATTCATCTTTTTTTATTTTTATAACTGCGGACTAGAATTTTTTTTTAATTGAAGATTAAAATTTATTCTGATAAATATACTAGAGTTTGATTCGTAATAATTCGAGGACTTGCTTCTCTTTCTTTCTTTCTTGCTCTCGTTTCTCACACACACACACACACACACGCACACGCACACGAAATTGATCACGCACGCGTTTATTCAATCGCTCGTCCTTTCGCTTTCAACGTTGAATCGTCTCGAAAATGTCTTCTGCGCATTTTTTTTTCTTTCCCTTCTTCTAGGCATCGATAATTTACGGCAAATTCTCATAATTATGTGTTCTTCCTTTTGCGCCCGTAATAATCCGAACGCTGCATTTTCACGAATCGCAAGGAGCAGTTAATGAAATACGCGGTTTAATTATCTGCTCACTCTTCATCGTTCGGTAGCTGATTTCCTCCTTAAAATATGCGATGCTGACTGCGACAGGTGAAAATTCAGCGTGCAGTCAACGTGCAAGTATTCGCTGTTAGTCTGCGTGGATATATTCGTTACGCTATTAGATAATTAAGTGTGATAAGTAAATATACAAGATCGTGTGTATACCTGTGTATGCGTGTATGTATATGTAGTTCCTTTGTGTTTTCTCATAATATTTCGCCAAGTTTTCTTTCCTTCCTTCCATTTGTACAGATATTTACATACGCCAGAAATCGCAGAATTATAGACTCGCGCAATCTCTCGCCTCGTTCGATGAAGTCGACGTGCCTGCTCGTCCTTTCGTTTACACGTCCTCTTTCTCTCTACATCGC